GCTTGGCTTGGATCTGAAACTTGAAAGCAACATAGAAATCTCAGAAGTAATCTGAGGAGTTTCTTGCCTCTCTGAGTTTGTTTCATAGTTTCATAGTTTGAGAAACAAAGAGATAAACGTCTGGAAATACAGCGTCACGGTAGAAGCCTTCGAGGTTGAACTTCTTTTTCCTGTCTGCACAGACATAACTTAAAGGTCACACAGCACTTCGGTCTGATGCCTGTGAGTGACAGGCAGCTATGAGGGCAGGCAGACACACTGCTCCCCTAAATGTTAATGTTCCCACATGAATGACTCTGCAGCACACTGCACTCTCTCTCTCTCTCTGCCTCCTGCTCACATTGGTTACACTCTGGTGATTTTAAATGTTACAAAATAAAATTATTTCTCTCAGCAGAAATGATTTTAAGATTAAAGCTTGTTGTTGCTTGCACACCGATTTGAGGAGTCTGTAAGTGATGGAGTTAAATACAGCGGGTTTTATTTGTTTCTTATGACATCTTATGATAATCATCTCTTATGCTACCAGTTATTAGTTCCCCGTTTGCAGAAGATTACCACTAGAGGGAGCTGTGATACACCGCACTTCATCCAACATACTATGAGGCTGTCAAAACACTCAATGAGCAGCATGCTTGTAGTTCAGTGAGATTACATTGACTTGCTGTAAACACCCTAAAAAGTCTGACAAGAAGCTGTAAAGCCTTTCAGCATTAAAGCACTGAAAGAGTATTATAAATCTGAACAGTTGCCGCATTTTCCCATTGATTTTCACACTAATCCCCAACAAGATATAAGCACAATAATAAAACCAAGGAGGGAAAATCATAACAAAGACTTGTTTAGAAAAGAAGTGTATTATCAGTAATCACAGACTGGCTGTATTATATAAAAATAAACACATTAAAACTAGACAGACTCGGTCAAGTTTTGTTCTAGAGAAAAAATCTTTTGCATATAAATTTGATTCTCCGGGGGTTTAAGGGTTACTTTGTGTTTTGTATAGCTTATAGGCCCTGAATACAATCCAGTGCAAAAATGTAGACACTGTGGCATGAATATCCAAGTGGGACTTGAAGTTTATGTGTCAATCTCTATTTCATACCCTTAAAATCTCAGAGAAGCTGAGCATCAAGACCTTTGATGGTGAGTGAGTTACCCGCATAGAGTTTTGCCCAAAGGTCAATAAAGTGAGAGTGTTCATTCATTCATGGGTAACAGTGTTGTAAAGCTCTGGAAGAGGGTGTCTGTGACACTACTTCTAATTGCAAGACCTTCTCGGGTTCCTGTAGTTCAGATTAATAATAGCTAATAATTCAGATTAAACTAGTTAATGTGTAAGTGTGTGTGTGTGTGTGTGTGTGTGTGTGTGTGTGTGTGTGTGTGGAGTCCTTTAGAGAATGGTTTAGTGTGATGTCATATTGCTCTGTTATTAATCCGTTAATTCTCTGATATTACAGATGAGCAAAGCATTAAATTAGTGCCGTGCAGAAAGCAGAGGCTTTCCAACATGTGTAATATGAAGTCATATTAATGTGGAACAGGTTTTCCTTCATCTGGACTCAGAGGCCCCCTCTGGACCACTGCCAAACCTCCACCCTCCGCTGTTCCCACATCAGACCACCTTACAAACTGGAGGCAGGGGGGGTTTGGAATGTATTTTGCCCTGTGTGATGTGATTGTTTGCAGAGAAATGGGTTGACCTTGCCCTCCAATGCCACACACACATACACACACTCGCTCTAGCCGAGCTGGAGGTGTGTGAGACAGACCTGCTGAGTGCAGGAGGTCTGGGACCCCTTCACCACTTCCTCCAGACAGAGAACAGAGGATCCAGTCAGCTGAAGCCAGGATGGGACAATAATGAGCCTTCCAGCAACCACCACCACCTCATTTATTCAAACTGTTGCCTCTAGCTTTTCTTCTTCTGGACCAAGCAGCTACAGGATCATACCAAATGAAGAGTTATACCCTAAGAAGCCGATTTAATAATGAGATTAAGCACTCAAAACTAAAGATTAAAATATTAGACGTGGGACTGTTTTAAATAGCAAGTACACAAAAGTATTCAGTCAAACATGAACTTGACTGAATACTGAGGCTGCGTATTGCTCAGAATGGCATGTGTGTGCAAGTGTGTGCCCTGTAAAAATGTGGTTTCCAATAGTAAATGTTTCATTTTCAAAGAAATGTGCCTACATTTTGAGAGCAATCGGATAGTTAGACAAAAAAACATTTGTTCTTAAAGACAAGTTTCAAACTCATAATTTAAATTATAAATTAATGCTCTTTGTTGAGTAAGATTTTTTTTTAAAGAATTAGTAGTTTTGTCAGTATTTGGTTATTAATCCGAAATATTTCTCCAAACTTTTTATTTTGACGTATCTAATTATCACAAATATTTATAGGCCGTCTATAGAAAAATGGTTAAAAAAATTATCATGTTTTAACGCTTATAAAGAAGCGCTAAACTGCGTGTATTTTAAGCGGCAATTCGGCAGATTTCGATTAACCTTGCAGGCCCATATTAATAATTAATTGACTTTTAGCAAATATTTCTGGAAAACTATATTTAAACTTAAAAAAAAAAACAAACCTTGTGTTTCGAGGAATAGAGAAAATACTTGTAATTTTCTAAATAAATAAACGGATTGCAACAACCTTCCAATAGCCTGAAAACCAAAATACATTAATAATATGTTTCTTTTACGTAGGAATCCCTCTGAAATATATATATTTTTAAATCTTGTATGTTTGTATGTGGGTTTGCTGTTTCAGATAGATTAAAAAGCAGATGAGGTGAGTAATTAAACCAAAGTTAATTGCGAAAAAGTTTATTGTGGGAATTGTCCAGCCTATTTCTTTCTGCAGGACTGTTGTTCCAGCGGTGTCATCACACAAATACAGTTTAAAAGAAATGCAAAAGAGTCTTTGTTGTGCAAAAATATTTAAGTTGACGTTTTGACTTATCACTTAAGCTGAAAAGCAAAATCTTTGAGCAGTGGACTATAAAATACCTTCTGTAAACAAACATAATAAATGTGACGAACATTATTCAGGCCAATCTTTCTGGCAGGGAAACGCTAATCTGCCCAGACTGTATAGGCTCGGCTACATCAACAAAATAATCTACTGCAGCTTCTCTTGAATTTTCATTTTCCACCTCCCAAAAATGATTGTTTAGAAATGACTTTAGAAACTAGGCTGGTACTAAAAATCTGTAACATGTGGCCTATGGAAGCTTTTCATTCTAAGCTTCACATCAGCGTGGCAATCAGTGCGAAAACAGTGAATAACTTATCAGATCAAAATCCACGCTGCGTGTAACCTAATCGTCACCGCCAGCTTAAAACGCACAGATGTAGCGTGCGTCTGAGCGTATATACTGTTAGGCTTATTGGCGTGGTGTCCGAGCAGCTCGGAAACTTGATGGATCTGCATTTACACACACGAACACACACTAGCACACACACAATTACACACAGAGGGTACGGACCCTGTCTCTCCCAGTGGCAGCGCGCTCGCTGCAGTACCCGCTTGTCGCGTTATGCAGGAGAGGCTGTGGACCAAACTGCGGTAACCAGAGGTCTACACCTGGGATTTGGATCATTCAAAACGGTAAGAGCTGCAATTATGACTGCGTATTTGAACCAAAACATAGTCACGTGCAGGTGGATTAAATTTGAGACTTTCTCGTGCGTAAAAGAGCGCTATTTATGCGCAAGAATTGCCTGCAGGAGATAACATTTTTACATTAATTTGATGTAGTAATCTTGTAATCTTATTGTATCGAATAACTGCTGTGTTATATCCTAAGCCAGTATGTCAGTACATGTAAGCTCTAGTATTTTCTGGTAAGCTATTTTAGACCTTGTCCACCTGTCATGTCTAAGATGGTTATGTCGTGAATATCTCGGATATTTTGCTTAAATTATTAATCTGAAAATCTGGTTGATGCTTAAATTAATGCAAAAAAGATGAATGGAGACACTGCAGTTAAGCTGAATGGTGGAAATGTGTAATGCTGACCTCCCGGTGACCTCTTCAACTTTCAACTCTGGATGCCTCCGGTTATCAAGATCTACAGTAATCCAGTCAATGTGATGCGCGCTCGCGTCAACTCGATGCTGTTGCTACTATAGGCCCCTCCGTGCCCGAATAATCTCCTATAAAAAAGATCTCTGTATCTAGCCTCGAGTGAGATTATATTTGGGGGTTTATCTTGAAACAACCCAAATCCACGTCACATTTTCTTGGTATGTAGTAGCCCAACATATATGTAGATATATATAAAATTGTGCTTTAATCACCAATAATCACCACAGACACGAATCAATAACCTATTAGTACGTAAATAAATCTGCCAGCAGTTATCAGCTAATATGTCTTCTTTTCGCGTGAGGGGAATGCTCACACACGAATGAAAATTTGTCTAAAAAATCAGACCACTTCTCTCTTTTTTTCATTTTACTCTAGCTTTGCCGACAGTCTCCTTCCACTCACCCATCACGAGTCTAATGTTTATTTAATTCAAGCGTAAAATATCTCCCCTCTGTCCTGAAACAGGAAGTAACGCGTTTCTCTGATCAAGCAGGACATTTTCATGAATAATACAGATTTTTTTTTTCAGGTAGGAAATGAACCAGCGATCATTTTGTCAACTTGAAGTCTGTGTGACATAACACCAAGTGAGAAGGCTGTAAAATACATGATTGATGCGGTGGGGAAAATAGACGCTGTGAGAAAAAAAATATCTATAAATATATATTTTCATATAAATGTATATAAATAAATAATTCCCCATCGAGGGTGCGTGCGTGCGTCTGGGTCTCTGTGTGTGTGTTTCTGCGCGCGTGATTGGCCAGTGTCACAGCCATGATTTGGGCTGCAGATACCGATGCACCGTGCAGACCTATGAGAGCGCGGGGTTGGCAAAAGGGGGAGGGCAGAGTACGTGAGGCGGACTTGACTGCATTTGTTGTGAAGGATCTGATGAGCTGGGTTCAGATCAAGGCTACCGCTGGGTCCGCGAGGACAATGGCGAGTGAGCGAGACAAATGAGGAAGGAATTACAGGCGCTGTGAGCAGATCTCAGACTTCGCCACAGCTGTGGACGGGAAGCAGCGAGGCGGACGCGCCTCTCCGTGTGCGAGCAGGGAGACGGACAGCGAAACGAAGAAGAAGAAGAAGAAAAAAAAATAGACCAAAACTAAAAACTACAATATGACAAAGCTGCAGAGGAGACGTGGATTTTTTAAGAACCACCTTGGAAATATTTAAAATTTATATTTTTTTAAATTAAAAAAATATATACGTATATATACTCGCTCTACAGCCTGCAGAGCGCGCAGGAAGAGGATGAGAGTGTTTTCTGCAGGGGGAGCAGGGCAGTGCATTTGAGGTAAAGGCCCTCAGAGAGAGCACACAAAATAAACATGCCAGACATACACAGTGGTTAGATTTGATGTGCACTTTCAAAGCTGCAGGCTATGATTGTGGTAGCTGTACAGTTCTGTGCACTGTTAACACTGGAATGTAAACCTTCAGATATCATGTACTGTAAACCATGAACTCAGTGCATTTGTTACGGCATCTGTAAGTGCAGTCCAGTTTGGTAGCTGGGATGTTTAGATCTCATAAAACTGGTAGTGAATCTGAACCTTCTTCGAAAACAATGCTCAAGATCAAGCTGCACGTTTAATCTCATTTCAAGTGTAAGTCTGTAATTAGGTGATTGGATGAGTTAGTCTATTGTAACACTATGTGAGCTATTGTAATCTATTGTGAGTGATTGCTCTTTTTAGGGAAACAAGGCCAGGAGTTCTTTGTGGGGGGGTTTTCACCACAAACTCAAATTGTGGCCTCTTTGCGCTCCCTCTAACAAAAGACCGTTTTGTCCCATATATAATTTATTATTATTTAGAAATATTAGATATCCAGACAATATCCAGAGTGTCAAACAGCGCATAGAATTTGATCAGATAAACCAGTAAAATGGGCGAATGTCTGGTGTGTGTGTGTGTGTGTGTGTGTGTGTGTGTGTGTGTGTGTGTGTGTGTGTGTGTGTGTGTGTGTGTGTGTGCATCAGTGGGACATGGCAAACGGAGGGGACCAGTACGGCCTTGCAGAGCCCCCTGACTCGGACTGTATGGATTCCCCAAAAGAGACCAAACAGGAAAATCCCAGCTTCACCCTGAACTCACCAGCTTCACCGCAGAGCGCGTCCAGTCAGCAGGTACCAACCTGTAGCTTACTCTGGATTTTAATTTAAATTTACTTAAAAAAAAATTAATTCAATGTTGTTGATTTTTTTTTACCAAACAAATAATAGCTGCTCGTCCAGTCATATTTTTTATAGAAATAAAAACAATAATTTCTGGATGCAGAAAAAAGTAAACAAAACTTTGTCATTGCTGTTGGTTTAATTTGCCACGGATTTGGCTTATAATACCTATTAATTACTAAATAATTATTTAAATATAACTAGAGTTTAAACTTTAACTCGTGCACTCATTATATTTTTGTACAGGGGATGGAGGGAATCAAAGTTTTCCTTCATGATAGGGAACTTTGGACCAAGTTTGATGAAGTAGGAACGGAAATGATCATCACCAAGGCTGGAAGGTAAAACTGTCGAATGACTTTAACACAAAGTAATTTTTATTGGTGGTTCGTGTTGTCCCACTTAAAAACATTGCAAATTATTCTTAATGTCACACTTTTGATCAAAACATAAACCTAACGGGACAAAATACAGTACGCGGGTGCCACCGGGCCTCAGCAGGGAAATTTTCTAAAGGAAACCAAATCCCTAAAGGAATCATTTATTTTTTATTTTTTATTTTATTCATTTAAAAAAAAAAAATAAAATCAATATTTAATCATATATGTCGCTGTTTTTATTTGTTTTTTTCTGGCTGTGCTCCCTGCAGGAGGATGTTCCCCAGTTATAAAGTGAAGGTCACAGGACTCAACCCGAAAACCAAGTACATTCTCCTGATGGACATCATTCCCGGAGATGACCATCGCTACAAATTCGCAGACAACAAATGGTTCGTAGGAACATGTCTAAAACACGGTATACACACTTACAGGACATTCAAAGTCATGTTAGTATGGTAGTGAACGTTGTATGGCAGTGTGTTCGGGGTATAGGTCAGCTTCCCCACCAAAAAAATATCTGAATATATAAATGTTTTAAGGGTATGGTAAAACAGAAAGAGGATGATAACAAATATACAGCTGTTTAAAATAAATGAATAAATACAATAATAGCTTTCCGAAAAAATAAATCAATCAAAATTTCCATTTCCAGATCTCAGATTCCGCCATCTCCGTCCCCCTCTTTGCATATGAACCTTATATCAAGAAACCTCTGAACTTAACTCTGGGTAAACCTTGTTGTTGTGGGTTTATACCCTCCACTCCACCCACGCTTGTGCACTCTGTAAAACATATATGTAGATATATATAAAATTGTGCTTTAATCACCAATAATCACCACAGACACGCATCAATAACCTATTAGTACGTAAATAAATCTGCCAGCAGTTATCAGCTAATATGTCTTCTTTTCGCGTGAGGGGAATGCTCACACACGAATGAAA